CAACCATTCGAAAGCCCAGCGCGAATCGACAACTGCCTCAAGACGAAGTGGCACATGAGTTTACTTACAGAAGGGCATGCGTATATTGGGAAAAACCTAACCGTCAAGCGCGCCTTCCTTCTGCGCGAAAGTCATCGCTTCAGCATATGACCCGAGACGTTGCTCAACCACCTGATGCCCTTCACTCTTCGTCTCGCATACGTGGTCCACCACCTGGGTTTTCGCCACGCGGTTCTTCAAGCGCTCCTAGCGCTCACCACTTGTCTTGTAAGGACGCCGTATTCATGGTAGATGACCTGGCGCATCGGAAAAATACCCTGTCAAGCCATTCTTCTTCCTTACGGTTTCATGCATCACTGTCCGGCGCACACATCCTCGAGAGTCCAAACAAAACAGAAGGCTCAGACAAATCGAACGTCGCACACTACCAGGCGCAAAAACTACTCGCAGCGAACAGCGAAAAAGAAGCCCCTGAAGAGCTTCGTGTCATTTCTACGGCACCGCAGACTTGCCAAAATCTGCAGTTCAAACTTAGTAAGGCCATGTCACCTGTGGCGCCCACATGCAGAGCTCACCAATTCATGAATCCAACAAATTCAGAAGTGCATGATACATCCAACCTCGTACACTGTTGTCTTTCGGAAGCACCCGTAATGAACCCCGTCACCGAAGCCTCTGAAGAGCATGCTAGCGATGATGACGCATTACCAACTATGCCCGACAAGCAAGACACCAGTTCACCATTCATCAGCTGTCTACAGGACGCGTCAAACACCGGAGGAAATGAATGCCCCATTCTGGAACGGGTGCCACTACAGCCATTTCCTGAGCAGCCTCAGCAAAGCAAGCAAAGCCCAGTTCACAACTTTATGCTACAACGAGAGAGACTGCAACAAGGGCATCGACGAACGCAAAATTCAACGGAAGTGCACTCACCAATTGAAGAACATCAGAAAATAAGATCTCGAAACCAAAGACCAATTCAAGACGTCAGACACTTTCGCACAAAGAAAAGTCACCAGAGACACTCCCTGCCTCAGCTTTTACACCGACTGCACCACCACAGAAAACGCCGAGAAAGACGCGGAAGCACTGCTTGCACACCGCAAGCACTCAGGCACTTCATTACAGTCTGTTGTTAGGTTTGGCCTGGAGATTCGTCTCTCAATCCCTTCGGCGCCCAGTCTCTCAGACGCTGTCGAAGATTTGAGTAATTACCCAGACCATGCGACAAGCAAAGGCGAGTTCCCGTCCTTCAAATGCGGACCCTTTTGTCGTCCCTTCAAGCAGAAGCGGTGACTAATGGACTCGGCGACTCATCGGGCAACGGAAAAACTGGCGTGACCGGCGACAGAGCTGACGGCGGAGCGGCGCTTCTTTAATCCTCAGTCAAGTAGCCGACCGGCCGACTGCCTATGCCCGCCAGGCATTGTCCCTGCTGGCCGGAGGAGGAGACGTCGTGTCGCCGCGACGCCACGTCGGAAGAGGGCAACAGGGACGGCGTCTTCCTGAAAGAGACTGCGATGGCCACCGCGGATCGCCCCGCTAATTGGGCGAGCTGTGCGGCGGACCCTTTGAAGTGTGCTGCCGGGATCGTGGGAGCTCTCGAATGGCGGCGCACACACGACGAGGAAGAGCCCTGCTGGCGCCACCACAGTGCAGTGTTCACGTGGACCTTGCATGATCGCCCCCCCCTCACCTGTGTGTGCGTGATTGGTGTTCGACTCGGAGAGGAGGAGCCCGACAGGGCATAAAACGACGCGGCAGAGTGCTGGACGTCGCTCTCAACTATGTAACGTTCAACCACCACGCTCGTGGTTTGTGAAACCACTATCCCTTCTTTTCTGTAAATATGTGTAAATAGTCCCATAAACCCTTGTTTTGTTTTCGTATCCTCCAGCGTCCTTCCTTTCAACCTTAACACTGTCAAAAAGCACGAAAGCAACAAGCACCGGGATTGCACCATTCGCGACAAAAAATACAACCCTGACGACATCCGAGCTGCCGATGCAACAAATGCGTTCCATCCTTGCTCAGTCCCCAGAGGAGTTCAAGCAGTATTGTCAGTATCCATGTGTAGCCCGCTCTGTCCGGAACGCAACAATCAAGCTCGTTCACCAGAGTCGTCATAAAAATCACCGGACTGCTCCCTCGGCCTTGAAGATTTAGTGAGATTGTGGAACTCCGTCGGGACTTGATACTGCAAATTTGGACATTGTCTGTTAATTGGCTTCTTCAATTTTTTGTAGGTCATAAACAGTGCCATCTTTCGGGGGGAGGGGAAATCGTGTGTGGTATTAAGCGATGGTTGGTAGAAGCAGAGAAGGAAGAAGTGAGCTCATGGAATAAACAAGGCGTATGAGCCAGGCCACGTCTCCCATTCATCATAGCGTCATATATATATATATATATATATATATATATATATATATATATATATATATATATATATATATATATATATATATATATATATATATATATATATATATATACGAAATACATTGAGATATCGGGGTCGCTTATAAAGGTAACTATTGCAATGCAGTCAGAGATGGCACCCATTCCTGGGCCAGCTGTACTATTCTGCCTCATCTTTCTCTGCTTCGCTTTGGATATCCGCGCACCCAACCTCAGTGCATGTCGTTCTTTGTCGTCCCACTTGGCCACGACCGCGGCCTGAAATGCTTCTGCTGGGTGGCAGTGGCTGAATCACGGTTGTTGGTCCCGGCCACGCTGCACCTCTGCTTGGAGGTCTGCCTGTGTGTTTTCTGACGAGTGGAGCTGGCTTTGTGGTCAAATTCATCCATAAAGCAATGTCTTCTGAAAATTTGTAGACGACAGTTCTGGCCAGCGGCTCTGACAGCATCGCCATGGTTGCAAAACCCCGGAAGGGTTGCTTTTATTTAGCGACATTCCGGAAAACATGGCAGCAAATTGTTTGTTCGGTGACGCAACGTGGAGCACCCAACGAGGCCACCTGCACATTTTGAACCGAGTTGACAGACGTTTTCGTATGCGATTAGAGATTTCCGTGGAGCCAGGTTTCCACACTCAGCTACGGCGTGTCCTGTGCTTTAGCAGAGTTGTCACTGTGGAGATGCCTGCCGTTCGCTAGCCACCAATTCTTGAAGTGCGCGGCGTACAGGCAGAAAATCCTTGTCGGAAGCCGTTACAATAGGATGAGGCTTGTGCTGCGTTCTCTCAGACTTCTCACAGACCTTGGTGTCTTATGAAATTTCGAATCTTAGCAAGTTATTAAGGCACTTATATTAGGCCAATGAATGCATCGAATGTATACCCTCTTCCATCTGGTCAGAGAGGATGTTGGCAGAATTCGTGGACAGGCATGTCTCATGTGGTAGCACGTCCAGTATGACGTATAAGCCGGTGCCTTCAAAGTCTCAAGTGATGGCGAGCTCGGAGAGAGGCTTTCCCATCAATATGGATGTCAAACGGTCTCGGCCATAGGAATGAATATTTTGGCGTTGGATACCGAGGCAGAGGCACATTAGGGCTTTAGTTCGGTTTTTTTACTTGAGCTGCAGCGCGCAGTGGCAACCCCGAGGTGGAGCTCCTTTTGAGCTCCGTCCTCGTTGGAGGTCGAATTGAACTCGCTGGTGGGACAGGGAATCCGGCCGAAAGCGGCAATCAGGCCGCACTTCATTCTGTTGAAGAATGCTGCCTCACGCATTTGTACCTCTGCTACGCCGCTGCACTGGCCCAAAGGTGGCCTACGGCCACGGACCATTTCTGCGGCTCCGTCCAGGCCTCGCGCGCTCCTATAGCATGGTGAAGGTCACAACCCAACCGTCCGCGTCGTTCTAGAACCAGTGTAATGGAACCCATAATATCGCGCACCTCCACGCTATCAAGGCGTTACGCTCAGAGTGGAGAGAGAGTACACCACAGCTGCGCGGCGCTATCCAATGATTTGCATGTGGAGCCAGGGGTGGTGTTGGTGAAGTAGGAGGTGTTGGTTGTGTTTATGGTAGTGGTTTGTTTGTCAGAGGTAGCTTGTACAGCCTCCCAAGGCTGCTGAGGTGTCTCTACATAGAGGGTGTCATGACAAGAAGTGTGGACAGCATTCTCGGGCAATATGAGGCCGCAGGCTGTCTTGATGGCGTCGGGTACACAAAAATGTTATACCGGCGTTCTGTGGATGTTCACCCATTAGAAGAGTCTTGGGCACCGGATTCTTGTCACGGGAAGCGTACGCTACGTTCCCGAACGGCAGGAGCTGGTGTGCCTTCTCCGACAAAAGTGGTAGCAAGGTTCCTGTCAGATCATACCCTGTAGCCACCAAAGAGCCATTGACGCCACCTGAGGATAAATTAGTCGGGTAGCTGCAGAGGCGTTGGCGTCGTCATGGAGCTCATGATTGAGGGAACATAAACGGCGTGCTGTCGACGACCCGTGAGGACACGTGGCTTGAGCTTCAAGGTTCGGGTGTCGTTGTAGCTTGCGCCATTGCGATGCAATCAGGCAGAGGTAGCACCGCATCCTGATTGGTTTGTTGCATCTTAGAAGAGTGGATCAACCCACTATGAGGGATCGGCCATGAATTCGTGTGGCAGTGGGATTTCGGGAAAAAAAGAGGAAGGGAGGGGGCGGCCTCCAAAGACATTTTTTTCAGGTTAACAAAAAGATTATTTGTGGCAGACCGGCTGTCCTGTTCTGCTTGGTCTTTTTCTGCTTCACCTCAGATCCCCACAAGTCCAAACTCAGTGTCGTTTTCTTTTTTTTGTCGTCATACTACATACAGTATATTCGCAGCACACAATCTAATGTTCAATGGCTAGCCCTATATTGTTATTTGTGCCCAAGACTACATATCAGGTGGCATGGCTCGCCTTACCAAAAGAAAAAGGCTATGAATCTGCTTGCCCACTCCGTGCCTTATTCTCTAAGTTCTGGCAAATTATTCTAGCTAAACAGATGCGCGGAACCAGGCCACGAACCATGCAAACGTTGGAAACAATATAGCGAGCCTTACTTACCTCTACCTGCTTGTGACCATAGTTGTAGACAGTAGCCGGGATGTTGATTTGCTCATTCTTGACTACGGAATAAGGTACATTCACTTCGACATAGAACTTCTTCATTGCTAAAATTTCGAGAGGGTCGGTCGCGCAGACACCACCACTGGGTGACACGCTCACAGCATTCACCTCCCATGTGGTTATCGATGACGGCAATGAGGCTGGGATTTCAGCCCTGCCGTTGGTCCTGCACCAAAGCACAGACAACGAGTGGCTTAAAAAATCAGGCATGTGAATAAGGCAACCTATATGTAGTTTCACACTGCCGTTCCAGCATTTATTTGTATATATTACCAGCAGATTGAGTCCTATAAATTTCAGTTGCCTACTGAGAACTCCTAATAGAAATACTAAAGAGACATTTTTTTTCGTAGCGGTAAATTACTTTTTCACAGCGGCAAAATATGCTTGGTAAGTATGCACTTTCATGCTTGGTAATGAGAAAACGTGGCCCCCAAAAAGTCTATGTCAGCACCACAAGGTTTTTGCGCTAACTCACGGTGACATCATAGATTTTGGCGGTGTTAGAAGGGCCAATATATCCTAATCGACCTGAATGAAGTATATCGTTCTCTAAGGGTGTCATGTACTAAACGTGCCAAGCTTGAGCAAGTTTCGTTCATCCAATGTCACCAATGTACCTAAAAACGATGAATTCTAAGTAGACACATTCACATTTATAAGCAGATATTTCCGCGCCAAATTAAAGAAAATACTATATGGACCTTTATTTTGCCTCTTACTAAACCCACAATGCTGACATTAAGGACCGTAGAGTGCTCTATAAATATTTTATTTGTCTAAATTCGTGTCTACTATTCGAGGTCATTGGGGTTTACGTATTCTCAAATTTTATGTGGAACGCATTTTATGCAGCATGCAGCAGTCAGAGCTAGACATCTTGTGCTATTGTTTTTCTGATAGGCTCCCTAGTTAGGTCATTATCAGCAGGTTAGAAAATTAGCAACAATTTTAACAATAAAATTTAAGTAATTAAACTTTGATCACTATAGATAGGGATAAGGAGATCATAAAAGCAAACTCGAGGCGTTGTTTTCACAATTATTATGATATTGCATCACTTCCTACACAGCTAGCGCCCCGAAGTTAATATGCACTGCGAGTGCTGAGGAATCAACGTGAAAAGAATGGGTCCTGCCACCAGCAAACTACAGAATGCCTCTAGGTTCTTTGCGAATTCGGGCAAGAGATGGCCCCGTTCCATCAATCACATACTGCGCGATCTGTTTGCACCCATTTTCCCCTTTCATCGTCTTCACCGTCTTTCATCCATTTTCTCTTTGTGCTTTTCTCATTCACTTCCCTATTCTTTCGAATGAACCGTTGTGATCAAGTTTACTTATTCACCCGTAATTTCGCTTAAGCATTTTCTCACATTGACATGCAATCCACCACCACTTCTGTGAACCTATTCATATGCATTAGATTAGACCAGATCAATGAGGCAGCGTGAGTTTTTCTAAGGATGCAATCCTTCCCGTATGCACTTGTTATCTGTGGTCTGTGGTAACTCACCCAATTGCAGTACTGTGGAACAGCCAAGTGTCGGGAAAATCCTCGCGGACTGGCGTGTCATCCACTGATAGCTCATCCAGGAACTCATGAGGCAGCGGTATTTCATAGGGATCATAATCTCGAGCAAAAGACGGTTCATACAAACTAAGGAGGAATCTGGGGGAACCTGGAATACATAGGTCATGATAATGTTGTTGAAAACTTGGACTCATGTCAGAGCACGCGCAGAAGTAATTGGCGTCCTTGCTTTCCATATTTGCCCCACCGTGGTGGTCTAGTGGCTATGGTACTCGGCTGCTGACCCATAGGTCGCGGGTTCGAATCCCGGCTGCGGCGGCTGTATTTCCGATGGAGGCGGAAATGTTGTAGGCCCGTGTGCTCAGATTTGGGTGCACGTTAAAGAACCCCAGGTGGTCAAAATTTCCGGAGTCCTCCGCTACGGCGTCTCTCATAATCATAGAGTGGTTTTGGGACGTTAAACCCCACATATCAATCAATCAATTGCTTTCCATATTGTTCTGCATAAAAAATAGTTGAAATAAAACTATTTTGCTCTTTTTTATCAGTGGTTTTGACAGGGTGGAGCCACAGAATGTGGAATAGTTTCGAAAACAATATTAAGATATTCTGAGGGACTTTTTATTGTTTTCAATGGGTGTCGTCTATACTAGCATCGGCTGTTGCTGAAAGCAACAAGTGGAAATAGCAGCGGTGCCATAGCACGAAGATCTTTTATACATTCTATAAAGAATTAGTGTTCTACGCTCACTGCTACACCGCATAAAAATGGTTGCGAACCAACATTGGACACCTTCGCTTCTACTTCTTCTCGGTGCGCTGTATTTAGCCCACACTGGTAAAGGTTAAAGGAAGAGAAAACTGTCGTTAAACAATCGAAGCTATACATAGAGTACTGCGTCATGGTAATACACGAAAGTACGCGCATATGCGATATAACAGGCAATAAATAGAAAGTGAATGGTCTGCTGCATAAACAACAGAACAAAGAATCACATAAAGAGTCTATAAATGATCAATTAGGATTGTGTAAACCCGAAATTATACCCTTCTGGCGTTTAATATTAATGCCTTTTTAGGAACACTGTAACAAGTTAACAGTAGCACACTGAGCTGTTGGAGTTTGTCTTGGTCGTGTTTCAGCATGTTCAATTGTACCTTCCTAATGACATGTCTTACAGCTTCTTTCTTGTTTTAGGACAACCATCTCTATTCACAGAGTATCCATTACCCAGTTATTAAATGTCTTGTTTTCTTTTGATCTTTCATATAGCCATTTTTACGCTAATGTTTGATGCTGGTAAGCAAACTTTTACTGCATTAGTTGATTTACCATATTAGATAATTTATAAACAATCAAAATATTTGAAATGGTATAGCAAACACTTTACGTATTGCAATTTGCCGTCTCTTGTTTTGTATCTTGTAACTGGAACTGGGAGGGCGTAAATGGCGATGCGAAGTGATTGGTCGGTTTATTGCTGAAAACTAGTGGTGCTATATCTTTACAAGCATCTATGCTCCACTTTGTAATTCCATGGTTGATCACTGGCTACACAGACCCTTTATGTGTAAGCTCATGCGGAAGCATTTTTTGTCGTTGCTTTCACGTGAAGAGAGAAACAGTAATTAAAACTCATCAGATGTACTCTCTATGCACTCCTTGCTCAACAAATAAAATGAGGATTCAGTGTTGCCTATCACAAAGCGTGCTGGTAAATACGATGAATTTAGTCATACAAGTGCACTTCAATCGATCTTGAACCTGTGGAGTTGCTTCAAAGGGCTCATAACTAATCCTCGCTCGCTCACGAAACTTCAGAAAATCCACAAGAGATGAGTTGTTAACATAACATAATCTGGGAGAACTGAATGAAAGATGCGTGCGTTTTCACGTGCACCATTAAAGCAAAAAAAAGCTGGAAGTAGCTGGAAGGCATTGAAATGCATCGTTATACTGTAACTACAGCGCAGAACAAGACGACTACGAAAGCTACATATACCTTTGTACATAGTTTTCACATCTTTTACCACTAATAAAATGTCATTCTCGCAATTTCTGACCTGCATGTGTGTGTATGGCTTCTGTTAGCTTGCAACACCTCATGAAAGCATCAATGCAGTCCTTCCTGTTCGGGGTGGCAGTCACCACGTCCATCAGTGTGCGTACTTTCAACGTGCATTCTCTTCGCTGCCAATCTTGCCGCGATCCTAGAGAGCAGCACCAGCGCAGCGTCTCGTTCTTGTATTCGTCCACTGCAAAGGATGGTGACCGCATAGTTGCTATATGGTAGCCTTTCGATGATAAAGTTGACTCCAAGACACTGAAGTAGGGTGCATCGTAAGCCACCATGCATGAATTCGCATGAACCATACTGTTCTGCGGCACATTTACGCTATTTGGTTACTCTTTAAGCTTGTCGGTGCCTTTCACTAGCAATATGACACAATTTATTTCTCTGACTGTAAAACTGATACGGAAGATCAAAGAAATTGTGTCACCATTGCCACCACTGGGGACACCACATAGGTGGCGAAATATTTTCACTGCTTGCTAGTAGCGTTCGGTCAAGACATCAAAAAAAAAATTTGGACCATTGCCATGGCCTGGCCTTCGAAGTGCGCTCCCCCTGGTTGAGGAAACGAGTGAGTGGCCGCCTTCCCAAATGAAATATGCAGCTCAGGTTTTCTTTCTTGAGATCGCGTTCGGTCCGCACACGCGGATCGTTCCTGGGAAATTTGTAAAATGCATTGAGGGCTTCAGGGGAGTTAATATAAATGCCTCGAAAGTTAGCCCTGCTTTCTGACAAGCTTAAAACATTGGTTATTTGTCGTGGGTCTCCGACTTTATTTGCATGTTTTAAATGTCTTTACGGGATAAGATCGAATGTATAGATCAAATATTTTGTTTACGAATAAATCACATCCCAAATCGTGGTCACCCGCTGCACACACAACCCTCCAGTCTGCTCTGCCTAAGCGTTCTCTTAAAAAGGTCAGTGTTTCAGGAATAATAAGTGCATGGAAAGATTGCTGACACCATTGTTTAGGTGTCGTAATGAGTTGACTTGCAGGCACAAATATAGGCACGTAGTCGCTCATATTGTGCATCGAAGTGCCAGCCTTGATGTTCAAGAGTCAAAGTTGGTTTTAAAGAGTCCGTAAAGTGTTACTGATCGTGAAGCGATCCGCGTAGGACATGCGCGTTGTAACATTTTGACAAGAATCAGAGTTTAAAAATGGTCAAAGTTCTAATTTAACACTGCTGTTAGCTGTAAGGTTAAAGTTGAGGTCACCACTTAGAATACGAGCATATCTTCTTTCACTGACAAATTCTAGACAGACTCTATAAAAGAAAACAAAACAAAAAACACTCATTATTTGAAGCAGCGCAGTAAAACACACACAGCACTGAACTACCAAGTCTGATAGTAAGCATTGTTTCGTAAAAAAGGGAGAGATAAAGCGGAAATCCGATATTCACTCAGAGCTCAATGAATTTGAAATTAGCATAGCTACGCCACCACCTCTCTTGTCTGTGCGGTTCACGTAGCACAATTTATATGTTGGAAATCTCTATACAGTGAAACCTCGGTGATACGAATCTCGCGAGGTGATCAAAAATATTCCTATGTGAAATTCTTATGACAAGAAAACACGAAAAAATTGTGCGCATCAAAAGAAAGCTGGCGTACGTTCATTGTTTCTCAGGCAGCAGACAATCATACTTGTAAATATATGGTGCGTGCGTGTAATAAATGAACCAGATGTCCTGTGCAGAAGAGTCTTTTAGCTGTATGACAGCTAAAAGACTCTTCCCAATCTGTTTTTGCTCATGACAAAAAAAGCACCAAGGCGAACGTGACTTGAGGAGATCGTTCCACGGTATAGATGAAGGCCAGAACATTTAAGAGCCGCTGTCCTTTCCTATTATTACTTTCTCATCGCGGTGACGTTAGGGATGTTTTCGGGTGAAATTTACGGTCATGAACGCACAGTATGGAGTTTTTTTTTAACATTCGTGAGTCTCCCGTACAAATCATAGCGTTTGCAACTGCGCACGTCCCGAAGAATCGTGCGACTGGGCGTTGCGAGGCTGAGCTCCTTCAACGAGACTGTCCGTTTCTTCTTTCGGTACTCGTCCTCCTTTCATAAGATGTCTGACTGTGATATAGACGTCACGTGTAAACAAAGTACAACGACAATCCCCCCAATAGAACAGCACGCGTCGATGGGTTAGAGAGAGAGAGACAAAAAATTTGCCCCGTGTCTGCATGTTTCACACCAAATGTCCTCAAAAGACGGTGGTCTTGCGTCACGAGAGAGTGAACAAAACGTTTATTTGATGTTCCGCGCGAGAAAATCTGTGAATGGTATTATGGAGGCGCTGCGTTAGAGTGCCTCGATGCGTGCAGTGGCATCGAGGCACGTGAAACATGAGCGCCACCTGGCAGTTATCTTGAAAAACGAAGCGCGTGGTGTGCGCGCCTGTCTTGGAGGCGATAATGTGTAGAACGCAAGGCGACCGGTAGGTGCCACCACCGTGTCTTATTAGCTTGAAAACACTTGTCTTTTCGTGCATAGCATTGCGTTGTCCGCGCAGCGTGATAAATGCCAGAGTTCTTAGAATTACTTTCGTATGACTTATATAGTATAAAGAGACACACAACAGAATATGATGTGTTGACATTGTGCCTGAGATATGCGCAATATTCGCTTTTTAATTGACAATCGCACAAGTATTAAAGGCGAAACTTGTACAATATTGGTGGGCGCTGCGGATGGGGTTGAATTTTTGTCGTTTCAAGTATCGTTTTGGAGGCCAAACAGACAAATGTAGAGACAGGCCAGGATTTCTGCGCATTCAGCTTTTTTTTTGTCACTAGTTCCCGCACTGCCAGAACCTCAGATCCCTCAAGGAAGTGCCCGCGCGAGGGTGGCACGCGGGTTTTCACCATGGCGCCACTCAAACAACATTTTTTATGTTCTCATTGCGCCGGGGACGTCGATGGACGAGGTAATCGATGCGATGGAAGCACTGGTTGCATCCAAGAAATCTACAGTGTTCAGCACCACGGAGGATTCGACTTCCAGTCCGGCGTCAGCTCGACGCGAGTAGTTGAAGTCCTTTTGGGAACTGGTGGTCTCCGCCTTGGAACCAGAACAGTCCCCCTTGTCCCAGTGGCACGACAGGAGCTAGCGTCACGTACCTGTACCTGCCTTATGTGCCCGACAACGAGGTTTAAATTGGCCTGAAGTCCTACGGAACCATGTTAAGAATTGAAGAGGCGTGGTATAAAGACCACCCCAGTGTCCGCACGGGAACCAGGTATATCAAGATGGACATGCGGCTGGCGAACCCGCTCCCTAACTTTGCGCGAGTGAGAGGCCATAAAGCGACCTTTGATAATCGCGGCGTGAAGCATCTTTGCCGCCGTTTCAACCAAGAAGGCCACTTCAAGGCCCAATGCGACACCCCACATTGCGCCAAGTGCGAAGTCTTGGGGTACTGCACAGACACCTGGACCGAACAGTGCCGACGCTGTGGCAGTGCTCACGCCAGCGTCGACTTCACCGCGAGGAAGCCGCACAGTATGGCAGCAGTGATGGATATCGACGAGTTCCCGACACTTGGCATGGCATCCGCCACAGGCCAGACGCAAAGGCGAATGACCACCCTGCGCCCGTGGAAGCGACTGAAGCCGAGCGACGCCGAAGAACGGCCAGAACCGCCCGTTGTCCCGGAGAAAACACCGGCGTCGGCCATTACGGCACCGCTGGTACTGCAAGCAGACAGCCAAGCAGGCGTACAAACGCCACTGGCGTCGAGAGGCTGGAGGAGGAAGGTAGCCATACTGAACCAGCCAAGCTACCACCAGTGAGTTAGAGAGGGCTGCCGACAGCGGCCAGGCATGAAGGCATGGTGAACGCAGCGCATGAAGCGTGAGTGGTGACGACGAAGCCAAGGACGACACCACCAGTGCCGTGGAAGCCTCAGTCGCTGCAGAGAGTGGTGCCGAGAGAAGGACAGGCGACGGGAAGGAAGACTGCCCCGTGGCGTGCAAAGGGTTGCAAGCAGAGTGCAAGCCCAGCCTCAAGGGCAAGTCTGCGCCGAGAACCGGCATCACCGTGCGAGGAACGTGGTGGAAGAAGAAACGAGACGACGATGCACCACATGGCTGCGACGTCCTGCAGACCGTGTACGACAAGCCCCCAGTAGCTCAGCCAAGCAAGAAAAGACCGTGAAGGTGCCAGAAGGAGAAGACGCGTTGAAATACGCCGAACCGTTCATTTCCAGCCGACAGCAACCGCTGCCAGAATCGGTGCAGCAACAGGGCAGCGCCTCGTAGCAGCGCGGCCGAGAGGGAGCTCAACATGGCGACCAACATGGCGAAGCGGGAGGAAAGCCGAGCCGGGAAGACACGATGACGGCCGCCTTGGTGAAAACTCGAAAATCAACACCACCGTCGTCAGGCGAGTATGAGCGCGGAGAGCTTGTTATTGACGGGCGTGCACCGACATCACCAGATTTTCCGGAGCACACTCAGCAGTAAACGCTCTCGGTGCCGGCAGACTTCGGTCTATAGCGGAACAGCCGGAGCCGTGACCCCGAGGCCTCCTACGGTGGAACGCTCTTCAAGTCGCTCAGGCCCTCGGGCCCGGGTCCTCACAAAACTTACGCGGGCCTCAATGCAGCGCCAAAAAGGTGCGACGTGACGCCGCGGGGCGCTCAAGAGGCCACACGTCGGGGAGCGAACATGAAGAGGCGACGCGAGAACACTATTCAGGCTGGAAGCTGGTAGCCGATGACATGGACAGACAGCGACTTTTTTTAATAGGTGGGTACGTTCCATGCTTTCACGCCATCATGTGTTTCCACGGTCACTTTTATCATCGAGGCGACGCAGACTGAACATTTCCAGAAAGACGCTGTAGCACGCAAGCCCCAGTTACTATGAAAATATTGTCACGTGGGTGTTTGCGAACGTCAAGTCGTGCAAAAAATGTGTGAATAATTTGAGAAAATAGTCGCACAGCTCAGCGATTGCGCCACAAAGTTATCAGCCAGGATCGGCACGGCAGCGCGTACAGAATACCTATTAACCTGAAGCCCGTGCCATACGGGCGTTTTTTCCCCTCTCCGTGACAATACGCCCCAAACACGTCAGTGCTAGGCCGCGCACTAGAAACAATTCAATGACCTATTTCCTGTATCGCGCGAAAGTGCAAATGTCATATGTACCCCATGTACTATG